ATAATTTCGTGTTAGGCCACACGAGGCCTCAGCAAGACGCTGGAGGATTCGGGCGCGAGTCACGTTTCGTATCCTTTCGCGCGGTCAGGATTTATGGAATTGACGCGACGAAGTTTCGCGGGTTAATTATTTTGTCGCTGTACCGCCGATCGTATATTATCGTTTCGATACCTTGTTCTCTGTCCCGTGTCCACGGCGGCGGCGGCGGCTTTTTTCTATCGTTAAAAGTCCCGGGGGTGAAAGGGGGGGAGCGTAATTAGAGACGCGGATTAGGCCTCTAACGACGGGGACCGGGCCCCCGGGCCGTTAGTCTGGATACCTACCGTATATTTTCGTTCGCTTCTGGATCTTCGACGACGGGTTTCTTTTTTGTGGCGGTCCGCATCGTGTGGAGGCTTCGAATGAAACGAAGTTTAAGGTTAAAGTAACCCTCTAAGTACGGGTATGTATTCAAGAATGTACGAACGTAAATAAATAAGTTAGTACGTGATACTAATGAAAATGATGAGTAGGTAATAATAATAATAGTAAATGATAAATAGTTTTGTCGAGACTATCAATACTACTTGAGGCAGTGTCTATTTCAATTTATCACTTTCATTCTTCATACCAACTGTTCGAGAATGTTTCTGCTTCGTCGTTTATTGACGACAGTCGTAATTAAAGGGTTAAGAGATTGATTCGGAAGTGGGGCACTGAAAAAGAGCGGAAAATTTTTAAACAGATGGAAGACTCGGGGAAAATGTGGAATAGTTGCAATGTAAAGTGAAAACTCAAAAATTAAGCGATAGCTTGAAGTTAGGGGGGAAACTGGGAAAAAATGTAGAATACTCGAAAATTAGCTGAAAACTCAAAAATGAGGTAAAAATTTGAAAATTGGTTGAAAACTCGAAAGTATGATTCTTTTTGGATATTAGGTGCAGTAATTTTCATTGTATCAAATGACATAAATTGGAAATATTATATTTAGAGGTCATCTAAACTAGTTTCGAAATGTGAGTAGCTTTAAATTCAGTTACATAATATGGATTTAATCACTCATATTACTCATATTTTTTTCAAAAGAAAAATAAGAATTTCTAAGTTTTGTTGTTTCCTGATATTGTGAAATGAAAATCTAAGAACCATGATTGTAGTTTCATGATTTGGCACACAAAATAAAAGCAATATACTTTGTCGGTAGAGTGATCTTCAGGCATTGCATGTTTCAAATGATATAATATCGCCCATATAAACACTACGATAGCAGAATTAAGTGGAATATGAACATTACCTGTAGATAAAAAGCAAAATTACAATCTCTTCGCATTATGATTATTGCTGCTAACACATTAAGATAAAATATATCTAAGTTCCGTGGCGTTGGAATAGCAAATGCAGTAAAGTGTAGTTAAGATTCTCTTTCATGTATGTAAGTGGGTGTTTTCATTCACCGTAACAATGATTTATTTACTTTCTATGCAGTAACTATAAACGAATGTCTCTTCTAATTCTTGTATAATACACTATAATCACCGCCATTAAATTTCACAGTAGCTAAACCTCGATACATATACATTTGCGTCATTAAAACCACTATGACAGAATCTTTGTATTCTAAATGTCAGACACGTACCTGAACCATAGAAAGTTTACAGTAAATTAAGATTCGTATGTCAGTTTTTAAACTCGTAAATATGACAAATATTCTCTTTATAATTCTGTCAACGTGCACTGTAAATACTGCAATTAACTATCATGCTGTTTCGTTCGACGAAGACAATGCAATTACAAGACAAGTCGAAATTCTATACCGAAAAAGTCGTCAGTACATTACAACACTAGAACCACCGGAGTTGAATGTATACTAAATCAAAATTTGATAGTGTTTTTATGGATAATATATAATAAAATATAACACGATATGATGTAAAAATTTTAATATAAATAACAGCAACATAAACATCGAGGAATGTTTATGACTTCAATAATTGTAAAACAAGAAATCTAAAATTCTACATTCTCCTGTTTTCTATGCGGAAATTATTGCCAGGTGCACGGGTAAGAGCTGTGTATTCAATACAAACTCGCGCGAAGAACGTCGATGCATGTGCGACCGTCTATTTGTCAATGGGATCGTTGTCGACGCGAATCCGGCGGAAGTCACGCACGGGAAAACTGTGTTCATTGGTGGACGGGCGATCATCCTTTCCTGATCACCCAGCTCGAATGAGAAATGAAGGGGATGATGTCGTGGCATTCCGACATGTGAGCATAACAACCGTGAAATACGAAGACCGTAACAGTGGTAAATTCATAAAAATTGCACAGATTGCGTAGATTACTTGAAGCGTCCTCTTCCCGGGTAGCGAATTAATGTAGCGAGATCCAGGAATAATTTTTCAACGCTGACGTGTCTTCCGCCTTGCTTGTACATCCGATACAACAACGAACTCCTTACTTGACATAATTATTCGGTACGTTGAAAATTTTCTCAAGCAGATGAATATAATTTAACGTAACGTATTATTAGATCCTCTTAACCCTTTAAGTCGCACACTCATATTGTATTTCTGTAAATTTTATTCCACTTTTTCGCCACTAAGTGGCGTGGCATCTTATTGTTCTACCACTACAATATATAATAGTAATAATAATAGAAATAAAACGATCATAAAATAAGAAAAATCAAATGTTTAAAAATCGTACATTAATTGTTAATTCATATCCGCGGGTTAATCTTTGCTAGTTTCAACGTTACATAATTTTTTATAGATACGAAATAAAATTGGGTTATAGAGGGTTAAAAAGTTTTCTCCATGTGCTGGTTCTTACTAGTTTTAGTTTTTATGTAAATCTACAGAGACCTGACTTTGAACTTCAATTATTGGTAGGTTATCGTGGTCTTCTTGGACCTTCCATTTGCAACGATTCTTATGTTTCTTAAGCGACTCATTGTCAGGTACCAATTCATTTGATTCAAATTCTGTTCGATAGACCATTATATTGCATTGAAACCTTCAAACCAGGGGCTTCAACCGGTATGATTTTGTTAACGGTATTATGCCATCAAATCTATACCGAAGCCGATAAATAACTGAAAACCGAAATAAATATCGGTATTTTTTTTATTTCGATAAGGGTAGGGTTTATATAGGGTTATATAGGGTGAAGGTACAACCGAAATTCTACGTTTCGGTAGAACTCCCTGCTTCAAACGTCCAGCAATCCTCGTTGACGCAGGTCTTCATACCGCTCCTAGGTTCCCTCCACAACCCCCTCCACAATCCTAAATCCCAGAGCGTGCCGCCGGAATTCATTCCCGACCCGAGCAATGGTGTGCGACTTCTCATCATTTTGTTTCCTTTCTGAAAATTCCGTCGCTCGGCGTCTACGGAGTCTGGGCCAAGAGACGCGTCCGCTATCCTGGCTGCAGTAGACACTTGGCGGTGCAGAAATAACGCCCCGGGGCCAAAACGACGAGCTTAAAAGCGACGCTGAGATAGAACACGGTCCAGTAGGGACGAACGATTAGGATCCAGGGGGGCAAAGAGAAAATGCAGGCAAATATGTCGAGAGACAGAGAGAGAGAGAGAGAGAGAGAGAGAGAGAGAAGAAACTAGACGATTCTGGGAATGTGTGTATGACTGTAAAATTCGTGGGAGATAAAGAAATGTCGCACGAAAGGGTGAGAGCGATGACGATCGTCAGAAAGGGTAACGAGAGGAGGAAAGAAAGAGGAGAGGAAACCCATTTCGCATTCTGCGGAGAGCTAGTCAGCAGCTAACTATAAGAGGAGCTAACTATAACCTGGAGTCTCTACCCCCGGTTGCTATTTCTAGAGTTGCGCTTGTCGCACTGCCAAACCCCTCCTGGCCTCGTCTCTTTTCCTCCCACTCTCTCTTTCTCTGTCTCTCTTGTTACCCTCTCTGTGTGCTCTTGTGAACGCTGTGCTCGCGTTCCTCGGCGTGCCGTTGCTCGCGTAAAGAACGCGGTGTGTTACGGTGGCCTTTGTGTATAGTTGGGTCGCGGAATGTTTTCGACTGGGAGACAATCCTCCCACCGCTACGTTTGCCCACCCCTCGTAGGTACAATTCTTTCCGCCTGTTTAGATGGAGACGAATAGCAGAACGATGTAGATTAGTGTAACTGTCTGATCGGTTCATTGGTTTATTTGGATTGAAGTATCTTGTGGGATTAGAGTGCAGGCCTTCTCTTGCAATTGTGATTGAAACTTGCGAGGGGAACTCCCCAAGGGTAACCCTCACTTTTTAATCTGGTTTTGTAGTACTTGACGAGCTGAACACACTTGTACCCTCTTTTGGACGTTGACGGTTAATAGTTTGCGAGAAGTTTAATTGTTAATATCTCGTGAACTGTTGAGTGTCTCGGCCCGAAAAGGGGTATTGGCATGTTCAGTCCGAAGAGTACTACAAATTGACGAAAGTTGATCAAAAGGTGAGGGTTACACTTGGGGAGTTCACTTTGTTACTTGAAAAACAGTGTATGGATATATAGTGAGAGTCCAAAGTGAGTATAAGGGTAGAAATAAAAGACATAAATTTAACATTACGTAATATTGTATTTACTAGTATGTTGTTGTAATAAGACTATATCTCGTGTTCAATGTGACTTCCATTCGCAAGAATGCATTTCTGAGAAATTATTTCTGCCCTCGTGTGACCTTGAAGACCATAGTATACTACATGGTTGAACTCGTCTTAATGCCCGCTTTCATATGATGTAAAAAAATATGTAGCATTCGATTTAAAAAAATTGAGGTCACCTTTGTTTCTAGAAAAATATTAAAAATACTAGTAAAAAATATACTACAACTTCCTCCTCTACGGTTTTGTTTTCTAATGTTTACCCTTTACGAAAAAAACAATGGTACAAATTATCGCGAACACCCTGTATATTGTATTAGAACGTACGTAAATAAGAATTTGTAATTCTAGATTTTAATACGATAAATGTTTTTATTATGTTTCAGATATACTGACTGAGCAAATGTAGGGACTAGCACATATGCATTAACGATGCTATAAACTGTTTGCTGTTGGTTTTTTCTTGAACGCAGATTGTGAGTAATGTACTGTTATTACGACTTAATATTTTGTAATCGCTGTACCGTTTAATTTTACTTTCATCTTACAATTTTTTTTTTCGCGTGTACGGAAAAGGTTAATGAATTGAAAATTTTTACGCAAAACGGAGACACTTGTGAAACCGTTTCGACACGATTCGCACTGTACCTGGCGATATGCAACGAGTATCGCGTTTCGCGAAGAATATCGATTACTGTGTCTCACCACTTAGGGGTTGCCGAGGCCGTAGACTTGTAAAACGACAGAAATACATCCTATCGATTTTGCGTCGATAAAAATTTTACGACAGATCATATGTGGCCACCGTTTGCATTCGAGACGCTCGATAAAAAGTAAAGGAATGCGGTTTAAACTCGTGCTGGCGGTTCCTTTGATACTGTTACCGCTCATAAGTATTAGGACACCTGGTCTGTACGAACAAAATGTAATATTTCGTAAATACTATAAATTTTAAGGCCATTTTTATTACTTTACAGTAGCACAAGCGTTGTTCATCGAGCTTTAATAACCCAGAAACGATAGTCATTTCAAACTTTCAGCAATTTCGTAAGGTCTTGTCACATTTACTGTACAGGGTGATTTCTCCGTTGCTAGGGTCGAGAGGCAAACCCACTGCTTTGTTATTCAAGAGTCACTATGATAATTATTTAGAATAAATGTATAAAGAAATTGATTAATTTTTTTTCAGTGCCATTGAAAGAAGATGTTTATTTTTTTAACTTAAAAATTTACAAATTTACCGCAAGACGTTACAGTGTTCTTTTCGATAATATATACCGTGGTTTTTTTAGGAGTTACTAATTACTAGACCGTGGAAATTCACGCAAATTCACAATTTTAAATGTTACTTTATAAACGTGAAAATTAGGTAGAAATTTATTTCCGTACTAGATCGTATTACTATATTAATAATAATATACAAAAATCATTAAATTTCATTAAAGTCCTGATTTCACTGCATTTTGCATATTAACATTTGCTATAAATGTATAAACATCCGCAGTTTACTAATTACATTTTCGTAAGGATATAATAAAATTTAATGTGTATGTAAAATATAATCAATTTATAATAAACGTTTCTTTTGTGGAAGTTATAGCTTTAACTCTTCCGTTTCCGTAATTTATTAAGTGAAATAGAACGTACGCTCTTTGATACTTTCATTTACCCATTCTGGGATGCAATTATACATGTGATTATGAAATCATGAAACTCTAGTGAGTTATAGGAATTTTACCTAGTTCGTATAATAGCTGTCTAAATGCACAAGTATGTAAAGATAAAATGCAAATTGGAAACGGTAAAGATATACGAATCGAGTAAGTACACTTAATTAATCCGGAAGCAATTGATGTCAAATCATTCTTTCTACTTATTATCCGTAGTCTACTTTCATCAGGAAAACGGTACTGATCAGTATAATGTAATATTTTCCATTTTTAAAAGCGTGTTCAATTAAAAATACGTGGTTGTATTCACCGAAGTATACTACGAAAACCTGTAAATCAATTAGGCAATGACGACATCTATATCGTAACTGTATTTTATTTACATCATTACAGTTGACCGCCTCTCTCTGACACTAAGTGCCAATAACACTCGATTTCATTGCGGTTACCACCAACATCCATGCTGTTTGCTTAAAACCGCATATGGAGCAATCCTTAACGAATCGGTATCAAACAGACTTGTGTTGGTGTAAAAACATACATAAAAAGTTACAGTTCTCGGGTTAACACGCTGACGACCGTGAGTGTAGACATCGCCGGGTTTCAATAAAACTGTTATGAATCGATTAATTCTAGACGTAATAACAAGAAATTTCAATTTAATACAGTGAAATTATTATTTTTCTCATACAACCTATCTACACATCTGAAGGAAAATATATTGTCTATCTTTTCCAAAGTTGTAGATTCTATATAGAATTTTTTCACCCGTTTTATGTATTTACATTGTTCAGAAATTTGCATCTGGCTACATGAACCCTCCGAAGGTTGCAGTTGATCTGACAGATAATCAAAATGCCAGTTTAAATCAAAATGATATTATTGCGTTAAGAAGGTTCAAGATACTTTCAACAACTAATCCTGAAATGAAAATAAAGATGGCAAGTATTTTTTTGGAAAATGTAGAACATCAAATTGGAGAAAAAAACTTGTAGGTAGTTTTCGATTATTGTATCTCTCTGATACACTGCGACCTCCAGAGGGTAAAAAGAAAGCTCTAGGAACCATGTTAACTCCATTAGTCATTCATTTCAATATCCTTAGTCCTACCAAAAATAATTTTGTTATTTATACCTAGTGTGGGACCTCACGTGTATAAAGATTAAACAGTTTGAACAATTTGTATATTAATTTATTTTTTCGAAAAATAAAATGATTTTGTTGCTCGCGTCGCAGCTTAAGTAATCTATGAAATCTCTAGAGGTACCTACTCGTCCGCGTTCGATCGTATACTCGGCCAGTCATCGTAAAGCGTTAATTTATTCAGCTGACTCTGTGTAGTTATGTCCGCGCGCGCGAAAAACGTCCACCGGAAAACGAATAAACCACGAGTTACATTTATGTGGGTAGGCCCTCGCGGTCACGATCGAGGCGAGAAGTAATCGAATTATGCATAATTACATAAAACGCGAATTATTTATCGGTCCCGTGGCGGCTAAATCTTATTTTTCATTAAGTTTAATTGATACGCCGCTCCGACTCGGTGGAAATGGCGATCGGTCCTTAACCTTTGAAATGTTGATGTTTTTAATGATCGACAGTACCTGGGTCCAGACAGACCCCTATTCATCTGTCTTTGGGTCTGTTCTGGAATGAATGTCTTTAGAATATGTTGGTCTTCTAATAAAATTCTAATACAGTATTGTCTCGATGAATGCGACGTATTCGGGTTCGAGAGACGAACCTCGATTCGAGAGATTCGAGAGGTTCAGGTTCAGAGTAGACAGAAGCTAAGCCGAGCATCTGCTTCGTTTCTGTCTACTCTGTTTTGATTGGTTCCAAAGGGAAACTCCTCTAATGGTGGAAAAAACGCAATTGCTCCTGTCGCATTCATCGAGGAATTACTGTACGAACAACTGTGTACGTTTTAGTTAGTTTCTACTAACTGGAATAATGCGTGAAATTTTTGAAATTCTCAGTCAGAATGGACCCACACACTGTTGTCAGAGGTTTAAATGAAAATCGATGAATATTAGAAATGTGTTATCCGTCCGGTTTTCATTTTCGATTCTGCACGTGACATCGGGCTTGCAATGAATCGATGCTGTTGGTAATTACAAGCCATTACTACTTGCGAATTGGATTAATATTCGTGGCACCGGCGACACGTCTGTCATTGTCCATATTAGCACGGGTAATTATTATAATACGTCTGGATCACGATTGACACGGCGATTATTATAGAACGATATTCATGGAGTGCTCCGATGATTCTTGTCTACTTATAACCGGAGCGGCAGGATACATTAGAGCAATGTACTCAATTGGCAATTAAGGGATTATATATATGAATAGGATGATAAATTGGTTAATAAAAAGGGGCAAATTTGCCATTTTTTACTTGCACGCTACCGAATTCTATTGATCTTAATTGGTTCTCAGACTGGATTACACGGATTTAAATATGTTTGAACGATTTCATCATTACCTACGTCCACCAAACGAGGGTCGAAGACATTTCCGTGTTCGTCGCAAGATTGTCAGATGTCCTCACGAAAGTCAGTCGCGAGCACTTGTCACCTTGCCACCTAGTTCGAAAGACTTTTTTTTTTGTTCTTTCTGGTCGAAGTATGCGATCAGAATGTTAATTCGAGGAGGCCTGCTAGCAGAATCAACAAACAGAAACCCGTTTCAATGTTTTCGCGTTAGTGACATACGTACGGTGTTGAATGCAGCGACGCGCATAGATTAAAATTGCACGTAGGCGCCGGGAGCTCTCGCGCCCGTAAAAACACACGCTCGCACGAGGGAGAGCGCTCGCGCGCGCATAGTTTTATTTCAATTAAACGTGGACTGGCGACGGATCGAAGCCAGCGGGGTCAGTGCTCGGACCTATTTCAACGACGTTGAGCCGCTTTCATTGGCTAAATTCTATTATTTATTTACGGTCGAGCTTCTCGATCGGGCTTGAGAAACCGGAAGGACTCTGAAGGCTTCCATGGCTTCGAAAAAAAGCCCCGGTGGAAGAGGAACGCGTTGATCTCGCTAACAGGTGATCGAATTTAGTAACGAACACCGTCTAACGAAACTGTATAAACGTCGTGGGATCGGAGAATCTATACCGTGAGCTTGTTTGTCAAATTAATTGCATTAGCTACGGTGATAAATTTAAAACTGTCTGTTACAAATACATGTTTTTAGGATTTGTTTTCTTACAATATACGTATAGGATGTTCACGCTGCTATTAGCGTTTTTTTCGCAAACAGTGAGTAAATATTAGAAAAAGAATGAAATAGGAAAAAGTCTTGAAAGCTTTCTATGACGAACATAATAACATTTATCATTTTTTTTATGTTTGCAATATTTTTCGAGAAACGAAGGTAACCTTTAATTTTTTACACGAAATGCTGTATATTTTTTTGTGTCGTATGAAAGTATGTGTGAAGACGAATTCATCAATGTGTTATAGAATTATATACCTTCAAGAACATACAAGTTCAGAAATGAAAGAAATATTTTGAATATTTCGTACCAATGTGTTTACAGTTTACAAGTATTCTTTATTGGTAAGGCTACAGTAGATGTTCAATATTTTTGGTTTCCTTGATTATGAAAAGATTCTCAGATCGCTTATCATTTCTTTGTTAGTTTCCCTATTAGAATTATAATCAATATTTATAACAATATTCACATTTATATTTCCAAAAAACTGTCATATGTATTCATTTCGATTAGTATGATAGTTTCTCAAAATTCTGGTTCCTCAGCTTTCGTCCTGCCGTGGGTGCGTGAGTAGTAGTTCTTA